GACCTAATGACCCTAATTATTGTCTCGAGAAACAGAACTTATATCTTTGATTAATAATAATTGCCTCTGTATCTAACTTGGATCAATTTGTGGTTGCTTATTTTGTTAAAGCCATTTAGTCACAATGGCTTGTACAAGACTATCAGAAGCTCGCAAGAAGTTTATATTCATCCTTCATCTGTGTTATTCAGGTTAGTACAGATCACTCGTTACGCCATTGTTCTTGTTCACGAACAACTTAGAGGAACTATGTAAAGGGGGTTATTTGTTTTTTATTAACGAGCAAATGGATGACAAGTTACCCAATGTGCTCAATTTTGACATTTGCTGGAAGATCCAAATGGAATTCTTCTACAGGTTCTGTGTAGTGCTCCAGATTTGAGAGTTCAATCCTCTTAGCCCCTGTTAGACCCATTCCTTGGGGAAAATGTGTTTCGGAATAGTAATTTCTTGGAGAATGCGTGGTTAAAAAATAGGGAAAAGTTTTGGGTTTATGTGTAAAATTATTTTATAGGAGAATGTGGTTACAAATGAGTTTTGAGAAAAATGGAGGGTCAAACAGGCTTAATGTGCATGTCTTGGATTCACTGTTCCTATTTTTCGTTTTGTGACCAAAATAATTGGACCACTTTTTTCCATGCGAACCAAGTGAGTCAAATGGTGGGCTATATTGAAATGGTAAATTTGTGATTCTAATTGGAGGGATATGTCGATAATGTATCAGATGATTTAGTTATGTCTCGTGCAATTAAACAAGCTTCTGGTCAGAAGAGAGATGCTATCTTACTAGAAAGAGGGTTGCGCAAGTTAACACAGTCTAAGGTGATTGCAAAAGATTTAATCCATCTGACCTTCTATATAATGCCATGTAGCCCAACTGATACTAAGCATTAGTCTAGATGTCAGTTAAGTGGTACTACATGATTAGGCATCTTAAATTAAAGGATATGGGTCCAATGTAAGATGACTAATCACTTAATTGACACCTAGACTTGTGCCTTAGCACTAGTTAGGTTACATAGAATTACTCTTTTAGAATAGGTAGTTTTGCAAAGTGTCCGTGCAACAGGGCTCAATTTAGGAAATAATAATTGGATTGTTGAATGACACATTTTCTTGATGTTAAATTAAAGAGTAACCATATGATGTGATATTTAAATGATAAGATAAAAAAAAAAAAAAGAAAAAAAAAGGGGTCTTATTCCATATATTTAATTGGCCTTATCATTTCATAGCACATCACCTGCCACATAGACAGGCGATGATCTCTAATGGTGATAAATAGCGTTACTCTAAATTAAAATCTGGGAGAATAGATTGATGTTGATACATAGACTGCAGACTAATAATTGGAATACATTCCCTTGAAATTTATCTTGCAGAGTTAATCCAAAGTGGGTCGTCTTCCATTCGATTGTCTCTACTGATCGTCAATACATGCGCAATGTCATCTCTATTGACCCATCCTGGCTGACGGACGCTGCTCCACACTTTTATCAGCGCCAACTGTTCAATCCCAATCCATCTCAAGTCTGACAATAACGTGCGCAAGGTTCTATTTTGCTGATCATTTGATAATTATATTCAAGCCGCGTCTCTCTCCTGTTGCTCATTTTGCCATCATGATGATTTGCTCCCGGGAATGAAACGGTGCACAACTTGTGGAATGGAGATCATTGATCTGTAGACTCTTTTATTATACCCCAGCTTTGGCAACTTGTTCCAGCATGATTCTTGCATTCATTACAACTTAGTTGCGTACAATATTTATATTTCCTCTTGTATAAAAACATGTGATGATGATATCTAACACTTTCAATCATCCATTTTTCGAGTTCTGAATTTGGTTTTATTTAGGTACAACTCGGGTTTAGAACCAAATTAAGTCGATTGGACAACATCGAAGAAATGAATTATGTCGTCCTCAACACTTGGAAATATTTACTTTTATCGATTCTCATACGTTACTGTGGAATCAAGAATGGCTGTTTGTGGAACTGGTCAATCTAAATGCAATTCCAATGAATCTTCAAAGCTTCATCTTTCAATAAGAACCATTTAGGGCATGTTTGATAGACTTTTTTTTTCCATGGAATTCCATCTTTTTCCAAACTGAGTGTTTGATTGGCATCATTTTCTTGCTTTTGTCTCACACGCCAATTCAATGATTTTGTGGAAAATCAATTCCCACATTTTCCAGTTTACATTTTTTTAAAAAAAAAATATTAAATTTTTTTTTTGACAATGGAAACAAATTTTAAAATTTTTTTTATTCCAAATTTTAACAAATTCTATCCATTTAATGAATAATTTTCATGTAAAAAAAAATCAAACGAACATCAAAAGATATAAAATTTCAATATTTTCCACGTAGAAAATTATACTAATCAAACGCAATTAATTGACAATTTTCAGAAAAATTATTTTAGGCAATTCAATTTCCTGAAATTTATTTTCTTTTCACTCAAATTTCATTTTTGCAATCAAATGGACTCTTAAATTTTTTAGGAGAGGGAATTTTCACAATGAATTTGACACGAAATATTCAAGTTTCATAATATCTTTGAAAATCTAAGCCTACGTATAGGCGGCCATCTTGACTTTTACAGCTGAATTTAATACTGCAAAATAATTTATCAATTCTAAAAATGTTTTAATGTATTTCTTATTTTATTCTCCAAACGTGATGCACATGCTTTCGTCTATAACTCTACAAGCTGCATTAACCAACAAGTTTCATTATTTTTTAAAATTTTGAAAGAATAATCTTTTAGGAGGATTAAAATATTTATAAATTTACGATCGTGAACACTAATTGATGGCTCCGTGGAACATATTAAAATGAATTGAAGTACAAAGAAAAGGGTATAATACAAAGGGTATTAATGATAAAAAAAATTTGCAGAGTTTATTGATAACAAAACTCCATTTTATTTATTGAAACAAACGCCTATTAAATTATTTAGTTCATTTATTCTATTAAAATCCCATATATGCATAATTTTCATAAATAAATTATGATAAGAGTTTACTACTATAAATAATAGAGTTCAACAAATAAAGGTAAACGGATAGTCTTCTTTTATTCAAAATTAAGCATGTGACTGACATTACAAATTTTTACTTTTATTTTATATATAAAAAAATCATCACTAAGATTTACTCTTGATATTGTTGTGATTGGGGAAATAGTTGGTCTTTGATCCACCTACTGCATTAAATGCTAAAGGACAAACATGAGGTAGGTCGAGTGAGAAATCGTAGAATTTTATCATAAATCAAAACAACACGGAATATTTTATGGTTTGAGGGGTTAAAATAAGATTAGGCCTCATTTCGTGTAGGTAAAAATCGGATTTTTAATGAATTTTGATAAAAAAATGAAATACGTAATTGAAAAAGTTACGAGTCCTGTGAAATGGGTGTTTAAAATTATTTATTGACTTTAATTTACATTTTTATGAACTTTTTAAGCTACACCAAGATGGGAACTGAGTTGAAGGCGCTGAACTGAACATAAGCATCTTGTTTAGAAAATGGACAAGAAGTGCAGCCATGGCTGCTAGTTGTAGGAGTCGAGGTGGAAAATAATGGACCTTAACGGCCTTAGTGACCTTGCTCCCATAAGCTGCACTTCTGGAAAACTTTACAATTTCACCTGCCGGACCACCTAGACCTGCCGGACCACCTAGACCTGGGTGGCCAATCAAGTTTTAGCACCTCGTACCTTGTACTAGAATTTCCACACAATTTCCTTAGTTTCATATTTGGGCTTGTGTTCCTACAGATTGTTGGTCCACTGACTTCCATATCTTTTTTGATTGATTCTCTAACATAAAATCTTGTTTTATTATCACTCTACATTAAAAAAAGTTAGCTTAAATTAATTTTTTTAACTATAAAATAATTTGTCAAATCAAAAATGTTTTAATATTGTTTTAATCATCCGAGGTTTAAGGATTTTAAATCATTTTTTGTATATAATATTATAGAGCATTTCTTGCGTTGTTCTCCAAACGTGATGAAAATGCTTTCGTACGTCCATAACTCTACAAGCTTTATTAACAAGCGTGACTAGAATATCGTTGGCAAGTTTCATTATTTTTTTAAAAAATTATGAAAGGATAATCTTTTAAGAGGATTAGTTGAATTCAAATTTTTTTTGAATTAGGTAAAATATTCATAGATCTACGATTGCAAAGTCGGTTCATACTAATTGATAGCTCCGAGGAACATATCAAAGTGAATTGAAGTATAAAGAGAAGGGTATACCACAATAGATAATATGATATAAATTTTTTTTTTTGCATAGTCGACTTCAAATTTATTGGTAGCAAAACTTCATTTATTTTTCAAGATTCCCTTTTTTTGGTTTATGCACTTGTGACTTGTCTTGTAAGTCCTTGTCAACCAAGAAGCATAAGGGAGGCTAAGGTCCATAGAAAACAACCATTTACCCTTTTATCAAATGAGGAATTGAAGAAGCTGGAAATGTGTTGGTAAATTTTCTCATAAAATGCCTTCTCTATCCAGAATTTGGAAAGTGTGGATCCGCTTTCCACATGGTGAACCAGAGTGCACCTTCCCATGGTGGAGACTGTTATTTTCATTATGTACGTAGTTGAACAAGAAACCCTAAAATCTTTTCTCTTCTTTATTTTTTGTTTATTTATTTTAATATTTTCCACCATGTGGAAGGTGCACTCTGGTCTTATGAAAGAAATATATTCATAATGTTATTAGACACTACTCACGCAATGTCATACTTGCATTTCCATGGAAAGCATGCATACATATGATTGGCTGCATTGACTATTAAAATGTTCGAGTTTTAATATTGTTGAAAATAATATAAAAAAAGGAAAAAGACCATGACTTTGTGCATTCACACAATTGAAGTTTCATGTCAATTGTTCTACTGGTCAGAACTTCCTATAAAAGTGTGTTATCCTCTTCCTGAATTTCATCAAGTAAATTTATCGTATTCCAATTCTCAAACAATGGCTGTCCATGCATTACGCTTTTTTGTGCTTATACTTTTTATTAGCTTTGTTCAATGTCGAATTCTAAGACTCAACTCCTCTGATGATTTAATCTCAGATGGAATTGATCACAATAAATCTCCTATTCTTACTGCAAATGTTTCTATTTCCATCGCAAACACTTGTGAGCACCAATATGGTTTCCTACCATGTGCAGAAAATGCGGGAGGTTACATTTTTCAAATACTGACTTATCAGGGCATACTCATGTTTGGAGAAAAGGAGCTGAGAACCGGAAGCAGGGTGCTATTTAATATTCTTGGCACCAGCAACATTTTCGGTATTATTTATCGAATCCTCGTGGGGTTACCAGAAATATTGATTATGATCGGTAAGAAGTTCCCAAACAAATGTTTCCCCTTTCGTTTTATTCATTCGTTGGCAACACATAATTTCAGTATTAATATTGTGAAAATGATAAGAATATAAATTATATCAACATTTTTCTGGCTTCATGCTCATGAACAAAGTACGTTTTTCTCCCCACTTGCAGTATCTGGAGTTTTCAGTAGAAAAGAGGATGCTCAATCTAAGGTTTCACTTGGAGTGGGTATTTATGCTGGAATTACAGTATTTACCCTTACATTGCAGTGGGGTGTATGTGTAATTTTTGGCAGGAGAAACTTGGCCAAGGAATCAACGTCTAGTCCTACAGAAGTAGGGCAAACTAGTTCAAATTGTTTGCAGGCCAAAGATGTCATCACTGACTTAAAGGGTCTGCCACTTTCTCATTAATCATTTGAGATTTGCATGAATACATAAGAGCTGACAATTTTTTCTTTAACTATAGATACTGGTGTTGTGATAGACAAAGAGACTCGTCATGTAGCTGGGATTATGCTCTTGTCTTTGATTCCTTATATAATCATACAACTAGTCGATATCTTCAAAACATCATTCGGAGCTCATGCAGTGATTTTGATATCGCTCGCCATGTCATCCACGGCACTAATATTATATTTCGTTTACCAGGTGGCACGACTGATTCAGAGCTAATGATGTAGAACTAGCTCTATAATATAATTGTCCCTTTTGGCATGATTTTACTTGTAATATTTCTAATTTTCTTTTCCTTTATCAGGTTATGAATCCTTGGATGCAGGAAAGAAGTTTAGCCTACACAAAGTATGAGACACTGAGAACAGGATTTTTGAAGCACATGCAACAACGTGGAAATCTCATTGATGAACATGGGAACCTTAACGATCCTGTCATCAGAAAGTAATTTTGTAAAACATTATATGCTGATTTGCATATATAATGCAATGAAGGGCTCTAATTACATGCTTGAATGCGCAGTTTATTTGCTGAAGCGGATAAAGATGCCAACAAAAATATAACAAAGGGTGAACTGGAAAGGTTGATGCATGACTTAATCAATACAGGAGAGATGAACGTTGACAAAAAATTTGCTGTTTCTGAAGTAATGAAAGCATTTGATATTAACCACGACGGGTTAATTAACTATCAAGAGTTTGCCGACGGTTGCAAAAAATGGATTGCGGAAACCAAACAATCAGCTAAAATTACCTCTTCAAGCATTCCCAAGGCAAGCTACATTTTCATTGTCTTTTATAAGTTTTCTACAATGGTATTATTGGAGCTTCTAACATCTCTCAGGATAAAATAAAATTTTTCACGATTTCGAACATCTTTTTAAGCAGAAGAAAGAAGATAATCCCAAGGATAGATATTTGATATGGTCGAAAATTCTAAAAGCTGCTCGAACGCAGTTACTTAAATCAGAATCACTTATCACAGACGATGGGAACACCAACATTGAGGAAATTAATAAGTAAATTTTTTTATACTTTACCTCGTTGTACTTTCGTTTTATCTAAGGTTAGTTTAGTTGCTGACAGAACTTCGTCATAATCTCTTTTTCTGGCAGTCTATTCAAGCAAGTTGATACAGGCTTTGACAACAAGATATCAAAAACTGAACTAGAGCAACTAATCCGTTCACTCAATTTCGGAGAATTTCAGCCAAATTATGACGATGTTGTAAAGGAGCTGTTCGAAGATTTAGACAAGGATGGTAACAATGTGATTGATGAACCAGAATTCATCAATGGACTAATAGACTTTGAGAATAAAGCCCTCCCTGCTGCAAAGCACTCGGATGAGAAGGGAAGTTTTGATGAAATTCAAAAGGTAAGTAGCATCTCTATCCATGAAGCCATTTTTATGCATTAGACAGTTCTTTGATTACATTATATACATTTTTTCCTTATTACCCTTTGAATTGCAGATTGTGAAGGAAAAAGTGGAGCATGAAGAGTCATCAGTATGGGTTTTTATCAAATCTGTATTACAAGTGTTGCTGGGTATTATTATAGTGACCTACCTTGGAGAACCTCTGACAACTAGTATTCTACAGTTATCATATTCCATGAATGTTCCTTCTTTCGCCATATCGTTTGTGGTAGTGCCATTGGCCATGAATTGCAGAGCAGCGATAGCTGCAATCTCTCCAGCCAGTCACAAGAGTGAAAAGAGTGCTTCTTTGACATTTTCGGAGGTTCGTCTCTCTTTTAAATCATGCGGTTTAAAAGTTCAGTTAGTTAGAGAACAGACGAAAAGTCCCCAATGTGTCGATGGCATTCATTTTTTAACGAAAGGCATCATGCGTACAATTTATTTTTATAAATAGTGACGGTGACAGTTGAAATAAGGACCTTAGGAAAACCATGTTGTCTCACATGCAAAACATACTTATTTGTCTCATTTGATTTGCAGATTTATGGAGGAATTGTAATGAGCAACATCTCAAATTTGACAGCACTATTAGCAATTGTGTATGCAAATGATTTGACTTGGGATTATTCAGCAGAAGTGTTGACAGTTTTGGTGGTTTGTGCCATAATAGGGTTTCTTGCATACTCACGCACCAGTTATCCTCTGTGGACTTGCTTATTAGCATTTTTCCTCTATCCATTCTCATTAGGTTTGTTTTATTATGCTCGATTTGTTTTGCATTGGAATTAACCCGATTATACTAATCTGGTATTTTTTTTCTTTCTTTCATCAAAATGAACATGTTGATGTTCCTTCATTACGAGGAAGTAATAATCAAATAAATGTCGGCTACAGTCATTTTTTTAAAAAACTTTCTCTATTCTTATCTAGTTCTACATGTCATTATTGTATCATTTTGGCCACTAATAAATAGTGTGATGACCCCGATTCACAAGCACTGCTCATGAATAGCTTGATGCGAGTTGTTTGATTAATATAACTTATCTAAGAGATATTCACTTTATTGTAAACGTAGCACAAAGGAGTTATTTTCGCAATACATAAATATGAAGTTTATGGATAATTTATTTCGTACTCTATGTATTTGGGACTCATTATTATAAAGTTGTGAATAATTTCACACTACATAAATGTGAAGTTTTATGGTACAACGGAGTAGTTTAATCAACCATATGTGAATTCCTTTTTTTTTTTTTTATAATTTTCACAAAATACATAATACTTTACATTGTCTATAAATTTAAGTAATCAAACATAGCATAATAATATCGATGGCTTATGTATATTGTTATGAATATATTTTAATTGGTATGGCCTAGGTACACAAAGGTATGCACCAAATTTACAAACAGATTATTGTTGTGTTTGATGGATATTATTGAGGAAATAATGTATTTTAAATAGTGACATGATGAGAAATATGTGGTTAAAAAGTAAGGAAAAGTTATTGATATGATGAAAAATATTATTTTATTGAAAAATGTGTTGTTGAAAATGAGTTTTGAAAGAATGTATTTTGAAAGAACGTGCGTCAAACATGGGCTATATAAATTTGATGTATGTATGGATTGATAGGGTTAAATTACATCACAAAAAAATTGAGCAACTGTGTGAATAGTTATTGAAGTTATTATTTACTTATTGTAATAGTCATTCAACTTTTTACAGATTGCACCGATCGTCATTCGATTAAAAAATATTAACGTTAAATCCTACGCAGCATTAATTACCAATATATCATCAAACAATATTTTTGTTACTTCAAGTCCACAAAAGTTGTTTTTTTTTTTTCCAAAAAAAGTGGGCTTACCATAAAATTTAAGCTAAAAAACAAAAAATATACAAAAAGTAAAGTTGCATTACGCTTTCTCATGTGAGTTTAATCCCGAATTCCTAATTCTACTTTTATTTTGCTAACCTGGTTTAATAACTATGTTTGTTGACACACTAATATTGCTTGTAGGATTTAACGTTAATATTTTTAACTGAATGACCGTTAGTATAAGCATTAGAATAACATATATTAGGATATTACTTATGATTATAGCGTTGTGAAATTGGAGCGCATCAAATGAATGTTACAACTATCTTTCCAAATGGACATTTAGACGAAAAATTTCCATAGAACAACCCAAATGATTTTCTTTGTTCAAGCAAGAAAAGGTCTATAAGTTGGTGAAATCATTGTATGACTTGAAACAAATATCAAAATAATGGCATGAAATGTTTAATTATGTCATGATGGAAATTAGATTTAAAATCCATGAGTGCGACAAATACGTTTATGTTAAAAACATCGAGAATTGTTATGTCATTTTATATCTTTACGTTGTCGATATGCTTATTGTTGGTAGCAACAATAAGATGATTAAGTTTATTAACGATATATTGAATTCAAGATTTCACATGTAAGATATGTATTTACCTAATTTGATACTTGGAGTTCAAATTTCAGCAACATTAGATTAACTCGTTCCAAGCCAATCATAAAATCACATTATGAAGACAAATTTTTTGAAATTTTCAACAAAGATAATTCTAGCATGACTAGAATATCGATATATACAAGTCAACATCTATTTAAAAATAAAGGTTAGAGTATCTTTCAAATAGAGTACTCTATAGTTATTGAAAGTCTAATATACTTGATAATTGTACAATACCAAATATAGTCTACGTAATTTGAGTAGTTACACAAGCAATCCAAGAGTTGACCACTAGAAATGAATAATAAGGTACTTAAGATATATTCTAGCTACGAATTGCACTATACTTACATATCTAGCAATCATTGAAGGATATAGTAATGCTAACTAGATATCTATAATATATTAAATATCGTATGAAGTGAGAATAACTTTTTGGACGATTTTAGCCATACTACAATTTAATTATTTCACTAGTACCTTACTTTTCGTTTTTCAATATATATTTAATAGAATATTAATTATTAAATATGCACACAAATAAATAATTGAATTGTACGAAAACAATCAAATTGATTCATCAACATGAAATTTAATTAATTTGAATTAATAGATATAGAAAAATAATAATTTATATACATTTAAACAAATGTGGTGTACATGAACCAACATGAAATTTAATTAATTTGATCTATGACTATAGAAAAAGAACAATTTATATACATTTAGACAAATGACGTTATATCATAAATTAAATGAATAATATTGAAATTAAATAAGAGTGTCTGAACTTGAATAATTTATTTACTCCTATAATAATTGAATAACTCCCAAATTATATGATCTTTAATAATTTATGATAAAATGAATAATCTTGAAAATAAATACGTGTTCATGAATTTGAATAATTTATTTACTCCTAAAATAATTAAATAGCTCTCAAAACATGTGTATATGAACTTGATGACTTAATGTTATATTTTATATATCCATAAATATACGTTAATTAGTATACATGCACATACATAAATAATTAAATTGTAGTATTTTTAGAGTTATTGATTAGCTACCAAAATATAGAAAGTGTTCGTACATGAATTTGAAGAATTAATATAGAACTTTTTGTTGCTAAGATAACTGCAAAATGACAAATGGAAAAATTAAATATAAATAAAAAACAGAGTGAGATACTCGAGTAATTGCTTAATCAAATTTAAGAGGGGCAGGCCAAGTATATTTCACTCATATTGACAAGGCAACGAACAAAGCCTTTATTGATATTTCTTATTTAATTTATGTGTTATTTTGACATGCACATATTATCAAGCAAAAAATTGCCACTTTTTTGGACTTATTTGCATTTTAAAAAAAGTTTAGGAGCAGATTGCAATTTATTATTTATTTTTCTTTTTTGTTTTATTTATATAGGAGGGTATAATGGTCATCTTATGATAATAGCAAAAAATTGCCACTTTTTTGGACTTATTTGCATTTTAATAAAGGTTTAGGAGCATATAGTAATTTATTATTTATTTTTCTTTTCTTTTCTTTTTTGTTTTATTTATATAAGAGGGTATAATGGTTATTTTATGTTAAAAATTGGTAAAAAGGATGTTCAATGCAAATAATGTGAAAGGTAGAGACGTTCTGCGCCAAAAAACGAAAGGTATGAACGTTTTCCAAAAAACCTTTAAAGGTAGGGACGTTTTGCGTTAATTACCCTTTATTATTTTTTTTTCTAACTCAATGTTTAGCTAATTTTTATGATTTTCTTATAAAATGACAAATCACTTTTTATTTACACGTTTTATAAAATTCACAAGTACTACTCACTTATTCATAATTCTTTTTTATTTATTTATAAATTGAAATGTGCATGAAAACTCCCAAACATTTAGATTAATCGTGTAGTAATTTCTTTTTGTCTTAATCGTCAAGTTGCTTTCAAGTTATTGCTGAACGTCAAGGAAAGAAGGAAATCACATTTGCCTTTCACCTTCAGCCAAAATAAACTTGGGCAGAGAAATTAATTAAAAAAATTAAAAAAAATTGACAATATAATTAGTAACATAAAGTATAGAAATTAGATTGATCAGATAATTCATTAATTATACATTTTGCTTTCAACTTTTTTGATTATTTCACCAGTTCACATCATATGATAATTAATATTTCACCAGTTCACATCATAAGATAATTAACATCTTATAAAAAATTAAATAAGAAATAAAATGGAACCAAAAGTTAAATGTTGATAAATATACACTTACAACTATTTTATACAGAATATCTATTTTATATTCATTAATTTTCAAATATCATTTTTACAGCGTTTATAAAATATTTCAAAATAGCATGCAACGTACGTTTAGCTGCGACTAGTTTAATATAAATGACTCAAAGTTGACAAGTGAATATATATTTACATTGGAAGTTGTACAACTACATAATGCAAATTCTCTACACATAATTATAGCTAGATCTACTATGAAATTCGAGCTTAAAGCCCTTGCAAATCTAGTAAAGACACTAAGCGGCTACAAAAATTTTTAGAGGATATTTTGGGATGGTCAAATCATGTGCCAATAATTTGTATATATTATGACAGTCAATCTGTGATTGAAAGGGCAAAGAGCAAAATGTATAATGGTAAGTTTAGATATATACATTATAGATATAATACCATAAGGCAATTATTCTTAAATGGAATTATCTCTATTGACTATGTCAGGTCAGAGGATAACATTGCGGATACACTAACTAAATGATTAAATAATGAGTCAATTGAAAACTTATCGTGAGGAATGAGATTTAAGTAGTTGAACGAAACAATTATTATCTTGTTCTCAAAACTTGGAATTATTTACTTTTATCAATTCTCATACGTTTCTCTATAATCGCGAATGGACGTTTGTGGAACAAGTCAATCTGAAATGCAATACCATTGAATCTTCAAAACACGTATTTTATCTTCCAATAAGAACCAGTTAAATTCATCTTGAAAGGGAATTTTGACAATAAGTTTCGCCTGTCCGCTGATGACACGAAATATTTGATTTTTATAATATTTTTGAAATTTCTAAGCCTACGTATCGGCGGCCATCCCACAAATTTAAAATTATTACTCCTCGTAAAATTATTGAGAATCGACAGAATAATCAGACAATGTTTTACCTACATAAAACGTGATGAACATGCTAACTATACCAGCTGCATTATGATATTCTAGGACACTGTCACAAGTTTCATTAATTTTTACAATTTTTATGGAAGAATTATCTTTTGAAATGATTATCTTTTACAATTAGGTGACATTCAAAATAAAAAATAAAAAATTTGGATTAGGTAAAATATTTATATATCTACGACATCATGAATTGATAGCTACAAGGAACTTTTTAAAGTAAATAGAAGTACAAGGAGAAGGATAGACCACAATAAACCCTACAATTATTATTTGAAAATTCTTTTTTTCTCTATATTTATTTTCAATAACACATTCACGTAATAAAATAATTTGCACGTAAACCCAAATTTTTTTCATATTTTACTATTTAAAACATTGTTTTTGCTAAATGATGGCCATCGAATAGGAGTGAGAACAAAGTTTTAAGATGAAATAATTCAATATAATTAAAGATAAAAAAATTGATTTATTGCTAATAAAACTTCATTTATCTTTTAATATTCAAATTTTTATTATTATTTTCGGTTTGTGCACTTGTGACTTTTCTCACAAGTCCTTGTCTACCAAGAAGAGTGCATCGTGCATATTTGTTATGTGTCCATATTTAATGCCGCCAACTTGTTATATAAGAACAAGTCTACAAGGAAAGTCCCTATTGAAGTCAATGCAAAGAAATCCCAAGATGCATCTATAAATATATCTATAAATTTAGCACATTTCTTACATGTGTTGTTTCTTGTTAAGGTTGTCTATCCAGGATGAGGAAATTTGCTGTTATTTCTCTGTTTCTCCTTCTGGGGAGTCATTTAGCATATAGCCGTTCGATTAAGCAGACTTCGAATTTCAATCCCATATCAGACGGTATTCATTCGTTTAGCAATTCATGGGGTTTATCAGCATCAACAGAGACCTGTGAGCCAGTTTATGGCATCTTGCCATGCTCGTCAAATGTGTGGGGGCTGCTGTTTCTAATTGTGATATATGAGATCTTGCTTTCCATGGGGGAGAGATATGTGGCAAACGGGTCGGAGCAGTTTTTCGAGATTATTGGGCCGGGTGGTATTTTCGGAGCCAGTTTGTTTCAGTTTCTTGGAGCAATCCCACAAATTATCATAGTTCTTGGTAGATTATCTCTTCATCTCTTCTTATTTCATCCATCGTTTTGGTTTTTATTGCGATACTAAGGTTTTTCATAGTTTATACTTTTGAACGAGGTAGTTCAACATTCTAGATATCATATTAGTTAGATATATAAACTTAAGTTATGTTCTCTAACCGCTGACGTGCAAACTTGCATCGTCCCTTGAGCAATACCTAATTGACATTCAAGTTTCGATATTCCTACTTGGCTATAGATTCTTTATGTTGTCTAGTTCTACCCAAGTTTTTGGAATGGGTCTTAATAGGAAGAATAGGAATATTAATCACTTTCCAATAATGTTACCGTTCATGCCCTCGAAAGTCAAAGTTGAAGAGTAAAAGATAAAAGTGAACGTGCTTATCCCTGTTTGACCTCCATTAAATTAAAATTTATTTCTCTCTTTTTATCAACTATGTATTTTTTTAATAAAATAATATTACATGTAAATTTAAAAATTTTCGTTTTTTCTTCAACCACATATTTTCCAAAAAAATTACTATTCTACTTATAAATTTATCTGATCCTGACTGCACGGTTCATGACGTAAATGTACAGATTGCCCGTAATTTACATTTCTGAACCAAAAAGATTTTATGTTAGGATACAAGCAAACAAAAGGCCCGAGAATATTTGCAATTCAAGAATCCATTTGTACGCCAAAATATAGAATAGATAATCGATTGACCTTCCGCTTTTTCCGTAAAATTGTATGCATTTCATTTACAAAAATCAGTATTGCAACTACAACATTCTCCTGCCAATAAAACATACATTTAATAGTACTGATAAAAACTTAGATCATCAAGAATCGAAGACAACCCTTTTAAATTTCTCTCAATGTTCTTTAGTTTTTGGTTATATACTAACGAGTTTTCATGCATGATAAGTATCTGCGCTTTCGGGAACTACTGAAGCGGCTCAACAACAAGCTACATTAGGAATGGGATTGGTTGCAGGATCCACAGTCATGCTTTTGACGTTGGTATGGGGCTTGTGTGTCCTCGTTGGAAGCTATGATCTTTCTGAGGCTACTGATAATACTGGAAATCAGAAAACTCTAAAAGGTCTTATTTTCTTTCCTAAACTTTATTGACAGGTAGCTGTAATTTTGATGTAGTAACGAGTAAATTCTTTTGTCAAAGCAGGTATTGGCATTGTGACTGATGTTCAAACGTGCTATACTGCACGAATAATGGTGGTAACATTGGTTCCACTTATCGTTCTTCAACTCGTAAAAGTTGTCCCCTCTTCAGGGAGACGAGTGATTATACTTATTGCTCTTATTATCACAGTGGCTCTCCTAGTTGCTTATATGCTCTATCAGGTAATAAGACCTGGCATCCGGCCTATTTATGTCTTTCCAAAGGGCATGCCGAAGTTTTGTCTATAACACAGTTTATTTTTTTTTTTGGCCTTTTTCAAGTGAAATTTTGTATATACAATGTTGCATTGGTGCATTCACCTGAAATACTTTGCTAAGAAGGGACCAATATCTTTTTATTATCAATATTGTGCAGGTTTTCCAGCCATGGATTCAGAACAGAAGATTTGAGCATTTGATGTATAAATATGCGAAAGATAAGATACTGACGCTCTTGACCAGAAATGGCAGGCCGGATACTCGAAAAATACAAGAGTTCGTACTAATTTTCAATCACTTTGAAATCACACTAATTTGTTCGGCTGTATGTCTTTGTTATCTATATACACTTATTGTAATGCTGATTTCATTTTTTTTTTTTTTAAATAATAGCTTGTTCGACAAAGTCGACAGGGATAGAAATGCATTAGTATCAGAAGCAGAACTCCGAGTTTTTTTCTTAGGATTGAAGTTGAACGATGATGATTTGAGTACAGAGAAAGATGTGGAGGACATCATGGGATCTTTTGATATCACTGGCGATGCAGGTATCAACCGGGATGAATTTGTTACTGCAATGACAAAAGTAGTTAATGACTTATCCGAAAAGACTCGAGGTCCTGAACTCCGAAATGCATCGAGTAGCAACACTAAGGTAAATCAGAGTTTTTTATTTTATCTTATTTCGAAATATAAAGAGGAACTTTTCGATTGAGTTACTTTTTTAGCTTAGCCAAACATGCTGTTTGTCCTCTGATTATTTAATATCGAAATGCAGAACACCAGTGAAGCACAGCAGAGTCTGTTGGCTAATAATACAAGCCCGACTGCAACCCCAAGCACAAGTCTGTCTGCATCTCCAAGCACTACGGCTAGTAATGTTTGGGTCACATTCTTTAGGGCTTCTTTTTTCTTGATAGTTGGGATTGGCATGTTGCTCATACTTTCAGAACCTCTCATTACAAGCGTCGTGGCGTTTTCGGAAGCTGTGAATTTGTCTTCGTTTGCTGTCTCGTATTTGGCAATACCACTCGCAATGAATTCCAGAGTTGCAGTTTCATCAATTAGTTCAGCAAGACAAATGACTCAGAGAAGCATTTCATTAACACTATCCTCGGTATGTCACACCCTAGTATAATTTCCATTCAATCTATACTCCATATGTTTGTTCTGGTTTTACGCTGCGGAATCACTCCATCTAAAAATTATTGTTAGAGAACTAACGTTTCTAATAAATTTTGCTCTCCCTTTTGTACAGCTGTATGGTGCGGTGTACATGAACAATGTTATAGGTCTGATCGTGTTCCTAGCACCAGTTTATGTGCGCAATTTGTCATCAGATGTCTCAGCTGAAGTCGTAGTTCTTCTCGTTGTCTGCATCCTGATGACCTTATTTACAAGTTGCTGTACGACATTTCATCGTTGGACAAGTTACATAGTGCTACTTTTATACCCGATTTCTCTCGCTTCAGTATATGTTCTTACCTCGGTTTTCGGGTGGTCTTAGATATTTGGGTTGGGTGACTTAGAATTATTAGGCATGCCTGTATAATTACTGGTAGGTCCATTGCAACCTGCAACTTATTATCCATGAAGATTGTACTTAATTTTTCTTTTCAAGCCCCTGCTATTAATATCAAATTCTTAATAAACTTTGATAAAAGTTAATGAAATGTATGATTTAAAGTTGAATGTCTCATAAAGTATGTGGTTAAAATTAATTGTCTTTAATTTATATACTATAATTTAAATTTTAATTTCTATCAAATATGAGCATAGCAATATTATGTACCCATTATCTTGATTTGTGGAATTCCGTGAGAGCAGTTATTACCTTTTTTATGAAAAATAAATCATGGGAAAAAAACCATATACAACGGAATTGCGTTTCGTCATGATTGGGTTGGAGCTATGTAAAGAGATGAGTCTTCAACTGGCAGAGATTGAGTGTGATTCAACAGTGGTCGTAAACTAGTTAACAAACTGTTTATGCAGGGCTCGGTATTTGTGGAATTATTGGGATGAGTTATAAAGTTGATTACAAACATCAATTTCACTATATCTCTCATCAGTATAGAAAAACAAATAGAGCAACAGATTTTCTAGCCCGGCAAGAGGCGGATGGTCTCACAGTGAGGTACATGCATCTAGATCAAATGCCACATTTTTTAAAAAGAATTATTCGTATAGATAAACTTGATTTTCCTAACTTTAGGTAGTAGCAGCGAGATTGATGTGTTAACTTTATTTGCTAGGTTAGTGCCTTTTATGGCTATTTGGTTCTTATGTTTATTTTGTTGGTTTTGTTTTCACGGTATTTCTCCGCCATAAGTGAGGATGATGTTCATTAAGGATTCTATTTTCAAAAAAAAAAAAAAATGTGTGAGGAAAAATTAATCAAATTTTGGTTCACTTCGATTGAGATATGCAATTCAACCTTCAAGAGACAGATTGGAAGTATTAACATCGTTAGAATTGCTACAGAAGGGCTTAGGAATTGGTAAAAACATATGCTGAAGTTGTCACAGGGAAGAAAATCACAATTCTATCATGGATGAAATCCTTTGAAGAAATCAGAGATAGTTCAATAAGGGATGTAGAGGTCTGTATATGAAACGATTGTTTTACCCATATATCAAATGAAGAATTGATGAAGCTTGAAATGTGTAGGTGAATTTTCTCATAAAATGTCTTCTCTATCTAGAATTTAGAAAATTCGCACCACTTGAAATCAAAAGCGTATTCGAAGTCATTTTAATAGCTGAAGGTGCATAAAAAGACAAAAAATAATAAAAGTTTGCACAACACGCAAATAAAAAAAAAACGACGGGTGGCTTGGGTTATATCTATCATATTTGCGCCCATGGTTGCCACATCTCTAGTGAGCCTATCAGCTACTCTAGAGTCACCTCGTCTGTGATTGTGAGGTCAATGGTGAGTGGCTAGAACAGTAAGCGAGGGTTCCCTTCTTTAGGGTGTTCCCTAGTCGTTCGTGGTGCAGACCTTTCATTGTTTGAACTCGTGATAATAAATTTTTTCTAGATAAATGATATTTATTTTTCAATCAAACAGTTTGTTAAGTACATTTTTACACACTTATTGTAGGTCCAAATATGGATAATTGTTAATAAATATGTGGAATATAGCTTAATTCGATATAATTTGTGTTTTGTAGGAATACAATGATGAACGTGGTGAAAATTCGAAAAAACAAGCGAAAAACAACTAAAATGAAGTACAGTCAAAGTTTGAGGATTCAAGTGCAATTACTGAAAAGTTGTGCAGATCTTATGATGAAGATTTGAGAGTGATAGATATCAATTGGATGAGTAAAGAAGTCAAAGGGATGAAATATAGTGGAAGTACTATCACATATCAACTTCTAACCGAAAAAGTTTTGCTTCGAATTTTTAGTCTTAGTTTGAGACCCATTTTTGGAATAGAAGAAGTTCGAATTTAAAGATTTATATTTCAGGAAGATTTGTATCCCTCTGAGTAAGCTTTCCAAAGCAATTTGAATCACCTCAATCGGATATCAAAAGAGAAAGATATGACCAAAATATTAAAAACTATCCGATGGGAAAGTAACTCTACCATGCGGCCGCATGGTAGAAACTACCATGTGGCCGCACACATGCAACCAGGGAATAAAGAGGAGAGAAATATTTATTTCCATGTTGCTGCATGGAATATAACCATGCGGCCGCATGGTTATTATTCGGCACGAATTTGTTTATGGTTTCCTTTTCTCATTCAACCTTTTATGGAAAGGAATCTAGGGCAACTATAAAAGCCAAAAGTCATCCAGAAATGAGGGTTATGCCTCTTTAGAGATGAAAGCTCATTGAAAAGCAAGGCGAAGGCAAAACCAAGAGATTTCTATATCGAAGATTGAATAATTCAAGATTCATATTCAAGTTTTGGGTGATATCTTTTCTTAAATATTCTTCTTGTTCTTTATTTTTATTCATGTTAGGCTAAACTTTTATTGTACTAGATGAACGATGAACCTCGTGATATAATCTTTTAATTCTCTATTTTACAATTTGATATTCAAACACGATTGATGGATATTGAATGATTTATATACACTTTCTTGCCTCTATAGTTAAATGCCTGTAATTATGTTAGTTGAGTGATCTATTTTATGCATTCAAAAGAAGGGAAATAGATTCTAGAATGTATAAATCGTCGCAGGGTCCGATAGGGGATAGAAATATACTGCTATACTTTACGTGAATCTCTAAGTGTTTATAAAACATCATGCATTCCCGTATTTTACATTTGTCATAGAAATATAGTCAAATGATATGCGAGGATATGTTCAATTCTACTCGAAAGATATTATTGGATAAATTAGAAACATTGATTCTTCAACCAATTCATCATGTTATCGAATTGTGAAATAGAGGTTAAAAAATGATCTTACTTGGTGATTTGGGATCCTAGTGCGCTTTTCATTCATTAATTTCTTCAACTTGTTTGCATTCAAACGTTATTGTTGCATTTAGTTCGTTTAAATTGTATAATAGTATTAGTTTAATCGAAGAATCTACAAAATCATCTTGAATTTACTAGATTCGGTTAAGGTCTTGATAATAGAGATCAAGTTAAATCAATCCTCGTGGGACGATACTCGAAATTTTACAATTTCCATTTTATTACTTGTTAATGAACCGTATGCTTACGGTTGTTTATAAAGCGAACATATTTTCGTGAACAAATTTTTGGTGTCGTTGTCGGGGATTGAGTTTTAGTTTGATTTTTGTTATTTAAACACTAATTCGAACTTTTTTTTTTTAATTTTAGTTTACATATTATTTTCTATTTAGTTTGTCAACTTAAGCTGAGCTAAGTGCTGCTATTTTTCGCCTCTTCAAGTATTGCATGCAAAGATCAGTTGGTGGCGAACTACTTCTAATGAATTTGAAAATTGAACGAACTTTTTATCGCAGACAAAGGATTGGTAGAACAACACAACAGGAAGATCAAAGACACATACAAATGGCTGACCAACAACTGGAACAAAGAGTAAATCCTGTAGCTCTAGCTAATGCAAAGGCACAATATGATGGGAATGCTCTTCTTGGGGATTTTTTTATCCCTATTCGTCGCTCAAAGTCAATCCAGAATTGTCTACCCTGCATTTAAATAGACAAACTTTCAGTTGAATCTAACTATTCCAACACGGACATCAATTCTAAGGGATGACCAACGAGAATCCACATACCCATGTATCCCGATTCTTGGATATGTCTCAAAATTTCAGATACCAAGGAATATCCGAATATGCTATTAGGTTGAGGCTATTCCCACACACTCTATGAGATAAGGCACTTGAGTGACTAGATTCATTTCCTAGGACAAGTATCACTACCTGGAATGATCTGGCTCACAAATTCTACACGAAGTTCTTTTCACCGGCTAAGGTTGCGAGATTAAGGCACTAAATATCAATATTCAGCCAGAATGAATCCGAATCATTTGACGAGGCATGGAATAGATTTAAGAACATGCTAAGGAAATGCCTTCAACATGGGTTCAATAAACCATCACAAATCATATTATTTTTACACATGACTACTTTCAACTTTAAGGAGCATGGTTGACCCATCATCAAATAACTCATTGACCATAAGAACGATTGATGGAGTTTGGGAGTTGTTTGAGAGAATGGCTAGTACTTCTGCCATATGGTCTTCAGATCGAGGGGTCCAAAGATATCAGATGTAGTCTATGAGGTAGATACCTACTCGGCCTAATATGCAAAGCTTGATGCCTTATTTCACAAGGTGGAGAGTATGTCACAAATAG